TGCAGGACAGGGAAGCAGTTAAAGAGCAAACCCAGGTAGTCTGTAGAAAGAAGTCCTTTTACCAGAGTTTCCAACTCCTGCCCTATAAAGCACTTTCTACCTTAATTCCTTGTGAAAGATTCTGGGAAACATGAGCATAAAACAGAGCATTCAGTAAAGTAAAATCTGAATATTGTGACATCTCTCCCGAGATAAATGACAGGAAAGAGACAGCTGACAACTATGGCCTATTCAGGCAAGCTAAATTCTACTTAGCTTCCTTGTCAAGTGATTCCTCTTTTCTGGCTGCAGGCAGTTCCTTACAGAATGGCTGTTCAGGTTCTTTGTCCGTCCTCAGGGGCCCCATATTCTGCCTTGACTAGGCAAAGCAACTGGCCTGACTCTAACATGTTGTTGTGAAAGATGGCGAAGCTTCGGTTCAAGGTGTGGCTCTCCCACCTGGGTGGGACAAGGAGGTGCGTGACTGAGGTCCCGTATTTAAATTCAGTTCCTCCACATAGAAGGGAGGCCGTAAGTCTGGAGAATGAAGCTGATGTGCACAGATGGCCCATCAGATTCAGCACATAGTTTTGAGGCTGGACGGGAGACACTGAGATCTGCTGGGCTGGAAAGGAGAGATGTGTATGTGCTTGCAATTAACGGGATATACTTACTCTGTGACACTTAAGTGTTCTACTACAGCATGCCTTGCCCTCTGGCTATGTCACAAGCTGACTGCTAATATGTGCTTTTTCTTTCAGAGACCATTAATGACTTGACTTTTGGTGCTGGGGTCAGTTACATCAGCTTGACGCACACACCCGGTTCAGCTCCAGGCAAGTTATCTTTGTGATTCTAATTTGAGGGGGGGAAAAAAACCCAAATGATCAAATCTGTGGCATTTTTTAAAATATGAAAATATACGCATTATTTGCAGAGAAGAAAGAGGCTGAGGATGAGCCAAGAGATATTATCTGTTTGACATCACCAGAGAAACCGTAAGTTCAACGCAGGTCTGAAACAGCAATCACAGTGAGAAAGACTGATAAAGTGCTTTAAAATAAATGGTTGTTCTGCTTCCCTCTTCTAGCCCGTCCCTGCCACGGGAATGGAAAGTAGAATCCCCAGCAAGGAAAAAAAGCAGCCAACGTGTCCCTCTGAGACGGTCCCAGCGAAGGACTCCACTGAAACCAGACAACTGATCCTTTCATTGAACTTTTGTACAGAATCATCATGTTGCCCGAAATCTGTCCTTGTCCTTTTCCTCTGTACTTATAAATCATTGTGGGCACACGTCCTTCCTTCCTTATCTATTCTTATTTGGTTTTTACATGAAACTGTCTAGAATATGGGCATACAAAGCCTGCATTAACACATGTATGTATTATAAACTGCTGCTGTTGACAAAGCTCACTGGAGTGCTAGAAAGCTGCAGTATAAAGGGAGGCCTGCTCTTCACTCACAGGATGTATAATTTGTCCATTTGGAAAAGTAAGAGCATAATGTTGCCACAAGCTTAGCAATAAATGCATTTATCACAGCTTGCAGGGAGTGAGTGGCTCAGCTTATTTACTCGATCCCTCATTGTCCCTCTTGGTTATATACTAGAGTTGCTTTAATTTGAACAAAGGTATAACAGCTTGTCACTGCCACACCCCTAAATCTGGTAATTGCACGCTACATCACCTCTTATTTGTTGTGCAAACTCCTGTGTGTATGAACAGCCTTAATGTTCTTTTATATGGAATATTTCCATTCTTGAACTATGTTATTTCCAACTATTAAAATTTTATGAAAATAAATGGTTACAGAATTAATTCCACCCACAGCTTCTCTCCTCTTCTTGATCTGACAGAGAAATTATTTTTTTCTATAGATTTCTACAGCCTCAAAGTCTCTTCTACTACGTCGCTGGTATCTTAGGCACTCAGTTCAATTAATGTTGGACCCAGCAGCTTTTAAATATAGACTCGTACTTGACTGCAAGCAGGAAATGAGTAACTCACTGAAATCAAGGTTGGTAAGTCGTATGCATAGCTTTGCTGTGCTCTGCGCAGATAACTTGTTTATCGTAAATGCGCTGTGTAAATGCTGGAATCTGACCCTTCCTGAGTCTCTCTGATGCCCTGTTAACCTAATTGAAGTTTTTCCCATTGCTAACGTCTATTACAGAGCTCTTGCCCTAGATGTCATTGAAACTTGAAGATGGAATCTGTTTTATTCATGCTGGTTTGTCTTACTCAGACATGAATTCACAACAGAAACGGAGTAGGCTTCTCGGTGCAAGTGGAAACAGAGGCTGAGCGTGCTTTTGCCACAGCCCTTCCAGAGGCACTTACCTTCTGCACTGGAATCCCATCATTTGCCCTCACTTTCCCTATTCTGTTTTGAAGATCAGAGAAACCTTCAAGTGAGGTTAAACTTTATTCTCAAAGTCAAAGTCAAAACCTGGGAACAGGGGACGTATGGAATGGCTTTGGCTTAAGTGACGGTCAGTTATGGCCACATCCATTTATTTTGTACCTTCTCTCCTGCCTTAAAGTATTATTTAACCACTTTGGTAAATTGGAACGGTTCATTTCCTACTTCGTGCTCTTCTAGTTTTTGTTCTGTCCTCGAGCAGCATTTAGATGAGCCCAGTGAGCATTAATCTGTCTTCTCTAGAGAAGAACCAGGGATAGACAAGTGTCCAAGAACAAACTGATGAAGAGCAAGATACCTTGGACTTTCTGTAACCTTCAGCCCAATACAAGTAAGTGAGTGCTCTGACAGAAGAGACTTTCCCTTATTTCACTGAATTGAAAACAGAAGCTTCCAATAATATGACTGTTTAAAACCAAAACCAAACAAAAAACCCTACAAAAATGCTTTATAGCTTGGTATTTATGTAAAACATTCTTGGCAAAGTTAAACGTAATACATTAGTACAAACCTGAATATTATTCACAATGATACAATGAATTCCATCAATCAGATCTCGTGAGCTGTATCAGGGGGATCATCTCCCCTTCTCTCGTTAGAGATGCCACTGTCACATTTTAGAACTGAAAAATAAGTCTTGATTCTTAGCTTGCTGGCTTTTCACACGAAGGCTGCCTTTGGCTCATGGTGAGACTGTAGATTGTGCTCCCATAGTGCCCAGAGCTACCCTGATTCAAACCTTTTCTTTCTCTCCCTTATTATAGGTATCCTAAAAGCAGCATAGAAAAGGAATAGTGGATATACAGAAGGTGCAAAGGAATGTTACGCTCACTACTGTCAGAATGATTAGAGGCAGCGTGCAGCCAGTGAACGGTACAGTGTGTCTTGGTCGAAGAGCACGTCTTGAGAAGGTAACCGTAATGTAGTTGCAAAATAGCAGTGGTAATGTCCGAGTTACACAGAGAACGTATGGTTATTGCTGCCCCATCCTTATTTTTACTTTCATTAGCAAAAGAAGAAGTGGTAACACTTTGTTTAGGCAAAACAAATGCAGCAATGGCATGTCCAGCGAGGCCCCTAGGAAACAAAGCAGATAAATGCAGAACACTAAAAAATAACACTGACAGTCCAAATCGTCAAGTATCCAAAATACTGTATACAGGAAAAGTTAAGACAACTCAATTCATATTGGAAATACAAGAACACTAAATTATGCTACGTTAAAAAAAATTCTTAAACCACAGCACAGTTCTAGTGTTGCATCCACATCTTGCAGTCTTATATTACCCAATGCTGTTCAACACTATCAACATACATGTTTCTGGGAAACACGTGTTTCCAATTATTCTCTCTAAAGGCAAGAGAACTAGATTGGGTTTCTTTTTTTTTTTTTTTTTTTTTTTTT